ATGAAAGATACATGATATTAGGACATGTCAATATTAAAAGTAACTTGATAATAGATAAACATCTCATGTGCTTATGTTATTTAATGTGTGTTTGAGCCTTTCGAAAGAATGTAATGAAAGATACATTATATTAGGAAATGTCAATGTTAAAAGTAACATGATAATAGATAAACATCTCATGTGCTTATGTTATTTAGAGTGTGTTTGAGCCTTTTGAAAGAATGTAATTTGAAATAGTAGATTGATCGAGAATGTATGATTAAAAAATAAGGAAATTTTTTGAATTTGCGTGTAATATTATTTTATTGTAAAATATTGGTTGAAATGATGTCAAATCACTATTTAAGAATATAATTTTTTTTAAAAGAATGCAACTCAAACAGGGTCTTAATCCTTCTACGAGCCCCACCCCAACACATTCTTAAATTTTTATATATTCCAAATTATATATTTTAATGAATTTCGTAAGATTTTAATCAAATTCTACATTATTGAAAATTCATAACTTTGTCATTTATACTTATAACTAGCATTTGCCCGTGCAATGCACGGGCTGTGTCAATTAGAAGCTAATGTTATTGTGTTCAATATAAAAGAGCAATGATAGATATGTTGAACCCTAATTTTTATTTTTTTTCTTTTCTAAACGTAGTTGCAATAAATGACGAACCATATCACATAGCATACAATACTTGATAGAATTAAGTATGAAATGTCCTATAAAATTAAGATGAACAAAGATTGGTAACATTTTAATCAGTATTAAATTGGAAAAAATTCAAAAGCTGATAAAATGATTAATAACAAAAAATAGAGACACGCTTATCTGTTAATTCATGTGAGAAATCATTTTTTACACCCAATAAAAAGTTTAAAAGCATTCATTTTGAAGATCTCATATGTAATTAATTTAACAAAAGATCTCAATATTAAGGTACAATAAAGAAATGTTCTTACATGTGAACACGAAAAACAAAGATCAGAATATACTTTTATGAACTACAAGGTAACTGAGAGAGAATTTTAAACCAATAACTGAAGCCTTGTCTTTTTTAATTTGTTTAAGAACCCAATATTTTTTTTTTAGTTGTTGAAGGTAGCTGATATATTAGTCAATATGAGTACTGATCAGAAATCAAAATTATTGCTTTCTCGTTAAAAAAATGCTCAAAAATTTCACAAGATGACATTAGAAACATTAATGGTGTCATCACATCCCCAAAGACAATATTTGTTTTCATCTCTATCACTGATTAGCCAAAATGAGAAAAAATCAGACCATACATATCATTGAAAGATTTTACTCCCAACAAATAAAGGGAGTTTAGAAATTCGGAACTCGTAAACTAATGCAGAGCTACAAATTGATTAAAGGCTTTATTGTTTAGAAACACAACTTCATTTCTGCTGTACAAAATATACAAGAATTTCTTTCATTTACTAATCTTCAAAGGGGTTCGAACGCTCTCCTTCTTTCCTAATTCTTCATTGTGTAATTGTTGTACGAAATGCATGGGTGTGTGGAGTATGAAAGTGTAAATAGTGTGGAAGTGTGGGTAAGTTCCATAATTGGTGGTTAAGTTCTTTCTATAGCCTGTTCATTTTATTCATATGATATATGTGTGGAAAGTATGAAGTTTACAGTTTCATAAATTTTAGAAAAATAAGAATAATAAAAGGTTATCAGCAACCTTTTGTGTTTGTTGGCAAGGTGAAAACTTCAGGAGATGTAAGTTTGGAGAACAGGAAGTCCGAGTGAAATTGTGCAGTGAAATGGCTGGTTTTCAAATGAATAATATATCCAAGTTTTGCAGTCAATGAGTGCAATATCCAACTAATTGTAAGGTTACAGAATAGCAATTTAAAACATAAAAAGATTTAAACATAATCCATCTTGTCTTGTAAGAGGAAAATAGAAAAAGTAAATCTACAACTTGAATTATGTAGTAGATCTGCCAAGCAATTCCATTGTAATTTTTAATATGAAATATTATAAAAGAATAGTAGGGGCACGATACAAAGGCCTTCCTTAATATGATAATTCGTAAGTTTCGAAAACATATTTCCAAAAAAGCATCTTCGGTTAAAGCATATTGCAAAAATGTGAATGTATAGTAAATACCTTACCACTTTTTCAAGCCAGCTGATGATATTGCTTGCAATTTCATGCATTTAACTGAGTCTAGTGAAGGTAATACATCAGTTACGAATATAAAAATTATTAAAGGTCATGATGAAGTATATTTTGCAAACTAATTACAAGAGCACATAAAATTTTGAATGATCATCTGTTCAATACTCATATATGCATATGATCAATCACCTGATGATGATCTGAAGAAGAAATACCAACAGGAGACTTAAGCTCCAATCTGTTGCCCTGACCTCTACTTCAAAGTGCATTTTCACCGCTGATCCATAATCAGTACTCTCTTCCCCTAATTTTGAACTTCCCTGTATCTCTAATTAAATTATACAAACTATCCCTATCAGTCGTTGAGACATAGACTACTTCGAGCCTAATTGTACTATTCATTTATACAAGAAGTAAATAAAAACTCCAAAAGACTTGCAAAATATACATGAATTGGAATGGTCAAAGAAATGGAAGTGTGCTCTTGGGGTGTGATGGAATCCCATTAGCAAAGAAAGGAACATTTCCAAAGTTACAGCAGCTTTCCCTGTGTATAAAGCCCAGTTCCAAACCAATTCGATGTGAAAACCAGCGTGACAAAAATAAATAGTGAATATCACATTCTCTCTTTTAAGAGGAGTGAGAGTGACTTTTATATATTCTATCAATAACGCTTAGGATATTGTACAAATTTGTATTGTAGCCTATGGCACATCCTTATATAATCACAGATTGTTCTTGTACATAGCGATTCTAAAACTTTACAAAGAATATCGGTGCTTTTTTGATAGACATACTTTCAGAAAAGATGAACCCAAAAATACTACAAGCACAAAATCTACAAACTAAAATCAGAAATTCTGTACACTGAAACGGGTAGATGGAGATAACTTAAAAACACAACATTTGAAGCTCAACCGATCAACAAATGTCAGCTTAAGAAATTATTTATGAGACAAAAACAAACCTAATTTGAACAAAGAGAAACGCAAGTCAAACCAATATAAGAAAATAATTTACAGCAATTATAATATGAAATTAACATAACTTGAGTCACAAATGTTTTGTCTATGTTTGATTTTTCTGCTTCTTGAAGAATTTAACAACTGAAGTACAAAGTACTACGACTTTCGAATCCACCAACTAAGAATAGAAAATTATACACTTGAACAAAGGAAAAAAAAAATCTGTTCAAAATACACAGGTTATGAAATTGAAATGATGAAGAATCGATAGCTCAAGAAATTATTTAAAAACCTGAACTAAAACAACTATAAAATTGACATTCTTCGGTTATGTAGCAAATTTGAAACTTAAATAAAAAAAAAAATCATAATACCAGAAGAGCGATTTAAAAACAAATAAACAAACCTAAACTGCAAAAAATATAAACCTAAAAGGAAAAACTATAAAATCGACATACCTGAGTTGCCCGATTGATTGCAATTTTTTGGATCCTTTTCACACCTAAACAAAAGTTGCAACTGAAAAAATAAAAAGAAACTATCAACTAACAGTAAATGTGAAAAAAAATGTAACAACATATACACAAAGAAAGAGCAAAGTGAAGCTGAGGAAAAGCAAGATGAAGCTGTAACTCATAATTTACAGGATGATTCTGTGAAAATCGCTCTGAAGTGTTCTCTCTGTAGAACAAGAAAACACAATGAAGGTAGGTTTCAAACAAAAAATTATTGACAATAATGAGCCTTTGTTAGATTTTTGTTCAAAGGAAAAAGAAGCTACAGTAAAAGATACTTTGGGATGAACAATTGCAAACCAGCTCTGCTACAGTGTGTAAGATGAGTTTGGCTGCAGTAGTGTGAAAAGGGCCCAAGAATGAACAGTAAAACATCATATTCTCTTTTATAGTAGGTAGGATTTGAACAATCTCCAATTTTTTAAAAATATTATCAACAAATTAAAATTCATCTGAAAAAAATACGACTTATAAAGGTAATCAAATAAATATCAAAGAATGAAAAATCGTTTCAATCTAAAAATAAAAAATAATTTTATTATATTATTTAGTATTACGTACAAAATATAAGCAGCAAATCCCCTTTTTTTAAAATGGAAGATATGCACTAAAATATTTTTAGACTGAGGACGTATTAATATAATTTTAAAAGTAGAATTGACTTGTAGCTCAACTGATCTACTCACTCTGAAATCCTTGGCTCACTTGGAATATGAATATGTGCACCCTTGCTTCCATAGTTATTAGACCTGGACCGGACCGATTCGAACCGAAAACCATTGAACCAAACCATGGTCCGATCCGAGCCTCCTATTATTTTAAATTTGCAACTGACCCAATAAAACCCAAAGAAATCGCCTATTTTTTCTCTGAACTGTTGGCCCAAATTTTAAAGAAATCGTCCGGTCCAAATACTTTGCATAAAAACCCTCTCTCATTCTCCTTCACAGTCGAACTCAAGCTTGAAATATTTGCCCTACCCCCATAGTAGAGTAGCCTGTCTCTTGCAAGTCGAAATTTCATTCCCAAGAATCCAAACTTCAAATTTCAATTTATATTAGATGGAAAAAGAAGATGTAAGTTTAAATTTTAATAGAATATACAAAAAGAAAATCTGATGCATATTGCATTGTTGGGTATTTCCATTTTTCTTTGTAAATTTCAATTTTCTGTCCTCAAACTTCTGCTGCAAATCTGATCCATATGTGCATTGCTGGGTGTTTCCATTTTATTTCTAAATTTCAATTTTCTTTCCTCGAATTTTTGCTGCAAATCTGATCCATATGTGCGTTGCTGAGTATTTCCATTTTGTAATTTGATGTGTGCATATGTTTGGTTGAATTTCACAGTTCTAGTTCTTTGGTTTATGGATTTTTTTTTTCTTTTTTTGTAGATTCCATTAATTGTATGTTGATCAATTGTTGTAATTTAGTTAGCTAATTAGCTTTGTAAGCATGCTGTGTGACTATGCCAATATCGATACACGCAGAGGAGTTTATCCCGAGGACTCAATATATGCCCCACACTCATTTCTCTTCCATGGTCCTCGGGGTCACCCTAAGTCCTCGAGGTATCGTAGTCCTCGAGATATCTCGAGGACACATTTACATTCTATCAATGTCCTCGAGAATAGTCCTCGAGACATACACCACCAACATGCCTCCTAAGACCTGGGTCCCTAACTAACAAACCTAAACACCCAAGGATTCTACATCAACTCTGACACGACTTGTCAAACAATTCCATTACAAGTAGAACACTCTTTATAATAGAAATTCTCTGGGATAAAAACATCCAACCAGCACAATCCTACTAGGAGTACACTACCTACTCCTATAAAAGCAGAACCTTGGGTCATTATTCAGGTACGTTTTACATTGTTCTTCAGCACATAGCCCCACGCATATATTTCCCTTTCTGACTTAAGCATCGGAGGGGCGACGAGAACACATCTCGTTGCCTTTGTTTCAGGTGTCAGAAGATCACGTTCATACTCCACATCCGTTATCAAGCTCGGGAAATCTACAGGTACGATTTTTGGTAGCATCATTGGCGCCGTCTGTGGGAAACGCTACCAAAAGCCATGGTAAACACACGTTCAGGTCTTCCACCAGCAAGCTCATCCGCTCCAAACCAACCCCCTCCTGAGGATATCCCTATTCCTCAAGAGGAATCATCAGAAGTGCCAGAGCCCCAGCCGGCAGTCGTCACTGCTGGAGCCTTTGAAGAGCTCAGACAACAGGTAGCCACACTGACTCAGCTGCTAAGTCAAAGAAATTCACATCCGTCACCTACACTAGCACCCCAGGGGGGTTTTATGGCTGATGCTCGAGCTTGAGCTCAAACACATGCCCCTGACAATGGCGGAGCAGGGGCCTCAGGTATACCACATGTGACCTCGGCCTCGAGATCAGTGACCATGGATTCCGGGGAACTCGCTAGGATTATTCAAGAAGGAATTACGGCGGGCCTACTTCAGGGCAACAAAGGGACGACAAGATTCAGTCCCAACACTCCATTTACTTCCGAGATATTAACATTCCCCTTGCCAGACAGATTTAAGTATCCTAGGATCAAAGAATATGATGGGACCACCGATCCAATCAATCATCTGAACATATACACGGACGTCATGAATCTACAGGTTGCACCAGATCAGGTGATGTGCAAAGCCTTCCCGCAAACTTTGACGAATGCTGCTAGGGATTGGTTCTCAACCTTAGAGTCCAACTCCATAGCCTCATTCTCAGATTTGACGGACAAGTTCTCCGCTTTCTTCGTAAGCAGCAAACGCATCAGGAAGACAGCGGCTTCCCTCATGCAACTTAGACAAGGGCAAAATGAGAACCTACGTGACTTCATGACCAGGTTCAACAAGGAAAGACTTCAGATTCCCGACCTACACATACCTGCAGCAGTTTCTGCCCTCACATATGTCATAAAGTGCGAGGCTTTCAAGATGTCTTTATCCAAAACTCCACCAAAGACAGTCACCGAGCTTCTTACCCGAGCCGAGAAGTACATAAATATGGAGAAAACACTGAACCCGAGAAAGGTTGGACCTTCTCATGACAGGGTCGAGCATAAAAGACAGCATGACCCAAACCCCCGTGAAGAACAACATCGGAAAAAACAGAGACAGGAGGTTTCCCCGACGCCGTTCACGCGTTTAAATACGTCAAAGACCAATATATTGATGGAGATCAAGGATATGAAGGAACTGAAATGGCCTGTCAGAATGAGGTCACCACCTGAATCCAGGGACATGAACAAGTACTGTGAGTTCCATCGGGATCATGGGCATACCACGGAGAACTGTAAGGCCCTGCAATGGGAGATTGAAGCCCTTATTAAAAGAGGACTCCTGAGCTCCTACGTCGGTAACGACAAGCGCCCAAGGAATGATCGTGGCAAGGAAAAAGACACTGAGGCAAAAAAGGATGGTCGACCCACTGCTGGAACCATCAATATCATCATTGGAGGTATTGCCTCGGGAGGAGACTCCAACAATGGAAGAAAATAGTATGCCCGACGATATGCCTTGGCCTCTGGGATGCCCCATGGAAAGCTGGAGGATATTACTTTTGGGACCGAAGACTTAGAAGGCGTATCACTCCCACATGATGATGCCTTGGTAATCTCAGCAATTTTGGCCAATTTTGAAGTAAAGAGGATCTTGGTTGATAACGGGAGTGCGGCCAATATACTTTCCCAAGAAGCTTTTGCCAAAATGGGAATCTCATTCCACCAACTCAAAGAGGTTAAAACTCCTCTCCAGGGGTTTGGGGGAGGAGTCATCACTCCAGAGGGTGTCTTCGAGCTTCCACTAACTTTGGGTTCTGGCCAGAAGCAGGTTATGGAGATGACATCTTTTCAAGTGGTACGTGTCTTAATGGCCTATAACGCAATTCTGGGAAGACCACTCCTGAACAAGATTAAAGCCATTGTGTCCACCTTCCACCTAGCCATGAAGTTTCCAACAAGTAATGGCATTGGGGTTGTCCGTGGAGACCAGACAGCTGCCAGACAATGCTATGTTGCCAGTGTTCGGGAAATAAATAACGACGTCATGCAAATCTCGAGGACGGATCCCGAGGATGGGCAACAAGTCAGACTTGCTCCTGTCGAAGAACTGACGAAAATTAAGCTCGAGCATGATAAGAAGGTGACTATTGGTCGGGATCTTGACGTCACCCTAAAGACAGAACTTGTTGGTTGCTTATCTCGCAACATTGACGTTTTTGCCTGGAAGGTTGAGGATATGTCAGGGATAGACCCTAAAATTCAGTACATAGGCTTAACATAAGCCCGGGGGCCAGACCAGTAAAGTAGAGGAAAAGACAGTTTGCCCCAGAACGTCGGGAGGTCATTCGCGAAGAAATTAACAAACTCCTCAGCACTCAGTTCATTCAGGAGGTCCAATATCCCGATTGGCTTGCCAATGTTGTTTTAGTAAAAAAGGCCAATGGTAAGTGGAGGGTCTGCATTGACTTCACAGACCTTAACAAAGCATGTCCAAAGATAGTTACCCCTACCCCGGATTGACAACTTGGTGGATAGCACATCCGGACATAAGTTGTACAGCTTCTTGGATGCATTTTCTGGTTATCGTCAAATCCTCATGGCTGAGGAAGATCAAGAAAAGAACCTCATTCATGGCCGATTCCGCCATATACTGTTATAAGGTCATGCCTTTCGGTTTGAAGAATGCAGGGGCAACATACCAAAAGCTCATCAACAAAGTTCTTTGCTAACTTGATTGGAAGGAATGTGGAGGCGTACGTTGATGACATGGTGGTCAAAAGCCCAACATATTTCAGATCTTGAAGAAGTGTTCAACACCTTGCGAAAGTACGGAATGAAGTTAAACCTCGCAAAATGTGCATTTGGCGTGGCCTCGGGCAAGTTCTTGGGCTTCATGATCACTCACCGGGGGATAGAGGCCAACCCTGACAAAATACAAGCCTTGGCGTCTATGGAATCACCAAGGAACAAGAAAGAGGTACAGAGGTTGACTGGTAGGATAGCAGCCTTGAACAGGTTCATGTCCCGAGCATCAGACAGGTGCTATCCCTTCTTCAAAGTCCTAAGAGGAAACCAAGGCTTTGATTGGAGTGAAGACTGTGAGAAAGCTTTCCAGGAGCTCAAGCAGACATTGGCATCTCCACTGATCCTCACTAGGCCTGAGCCTGGTGACACCTTATTTTTGTACTTGGCAGTATCTCAAAACGCTGTCAGCGGGGTCTTGGTGAAAGAGGTTAACAGAGTCCAGCAACCTATCTACTATGTAAGCAAGGTCCTACTGGATGCAGAAACAAGGTATACTTTGGCGGAACAACTTGCCCTTGCCTTGGTTATAGCAGCACGGAAACTCCGGCAGTATTTTCAGTCTCACCCTATTGTGGTGCTCACTAATCAACCACTTAAGCATATACTTCAGAAGCCGAACGTATCAGGAAGACTGATGAAATGGGCAATCGAGCTTGGAGAATTTGACATAGAATTCAAACCACGCCCATCTATCAAAGCCCAAACTCTGGCCGACTTCATTGCAGAACTAACCCCGAGGCCTCGGGGGCCAGGTGATAGATCGAGCATGAGCACTAATCTGGACACTTGGCAAATTTTTGTGGATGGAGCATCGAACTCCTCGGACTCGGGCGCAGGGGTTATCATCATCAGCCCTGACAAAAAAATAGAGATTCAATGCGCTCTCAGGTTTGAGTTTGAAGCAACCAACAACGAGGCTGAGTATGAGGCCGTCGTTATTGCTCTTGAGCTAGCCCTTTGCCTAGAGCTCGAGTTCGTAAAGATATTCAGCGATTCACAGCTAGTGGTCAGACAAATTGAAGGATCATTTGAAAGAAAGGAGGAGAAAATGAGTTTGTACTGTACGAAGGTTCAGGATCTTCAACGAAAATTCAAGAGCTGTGAAATTACAAAAATTGCTCGAAAGGATAACGGAAAAGCCAACGCATTATCCAGGCTTGTGTTCATGGGGGTAGACGGCCTTGATAGAACGGTTCACATTAAAATCATCACAGAACCCAGCATCAGTCAAATCCTCGACATCATGGACATTGACAACGAACCATCCTGGATGGACCCGATCATAGAATTCATCGCAAACGAAAATCTACCAAGCGATGTCAGGTTGGCTAGAAGCATCAGAGCCCGAGCTCCTAGGTACTACATGATCAGCGGTGTCCTTTTTCGCTGAAGTATTACCCTTCCGTACCTAAGGTGCCTCAGGCCATCAGAATCATCCCAGGCCTTTGCTGAAGTTCATGAAGGTGTGTGCGGGAATCATCAAGGAGTCAGGGCCTTGGCCTTTAAACTCGTACGATATGGATACTACTGGCCAACCATGAAAAAAGACGCCTCAGAATATGTTAAAAGATGTGATAGGTGCCAAAGGTTTGGGAATGTTATCCACTCACCAGCCGAAAATCTCACCAACATTAACTGTTCGGCCCCGTTTGAACAATGGGGAGTTGACATCCTCGGCCCCTTTCCTGTGGCAAGAGGCCAATTAAAGTTTGTTGCTGTAGCAGTAGAGTACTTCACAAAGTGGGTAGAGGCCGAACCCCTCGCCATAATTTCGGAGCCCAAGCTAAGAACCTTCACTTGAAAGTCTATCATTTGCAGGTTCGGGATACCAAAGGTCCTCATCACCGACAATGGTAGGCAATTTGACAACCAACAGTTTAGAAACTTTTGCTCAAACCTTGGGATTGACCACCGTCTGACATCAGTTTCGCATCCTCAGAGCAACGGTCTGGCCGAAGTAACAAGTCGAATCATATTGCAAGACCTCCGAACAAGAATAAGCGATGCTAGGGGTTCTTAGTCCGACGAGCTGGCTTCTATACTTTGGACGTATAGAACAACTCATAGGACAACCACAGGAGAAACCCCTTTTATGTTGGCCTATGGCATTGAAGCAATGGTCCCAGTGAAAATTAGACTACCAAGCCATAGGAGGCTCGTGCCAGAAACCTCGGATCATACAACTGAACATCTTGATCTCTTGGAAGAAGTACGGGAGCAAGCCGCTATAAAGGTGGCCTCTTACCAAACTAAGACAGCAAAACATTTTAATAGCAAAGTCAAGGCTCGGAGGTTCAGAGCTGGTGATTTGGTCTTGAGGAGGGCCGAAGCAGCAGGCCACCCCCCAGGGAAGCTCGGGCCCATCTGGGAAGGGCCCTTTGAGGTCGTACGACAGGTTCGCAAAGGAGCATACAGCCTAAGAGACACTTCGGACAGACCTCTTTCGAGGCCCTGAAATGCCGACAATCTAAAAATATATTACAAGTAAAATTCCCGACGCCTTTTTGGAGATTTTCTTTTTCTGCATCTTATTTCTAGTTTAGCGGGCCTGCGTGCCCATGCATGTTTTCCGTTCTCTTTTGTAATGAACTACGTTCGGCTTGATCCCGTTTGGGTACGTAGGCAGCTTGGATACAATATAAATCCAAGTCCAGTCCGAAAAATTAGTAAATTCGAGCTTCAGGTATAACAGCCCTTTAGTAAAAGCCTTGCCCCGCGCAAGCACGAAAAGCCTTGCCCCGCGCAAGCACGAAAAGCCTTGCCCCGAGCAAGCACAAAAAGCCTTGTCCCGGGCAAGCACACAAAAAAGCCTTGCCCCGGGCTAGCACACAAAAAAGCCTTGCCCCGGGCAAGCACCAAAGCCTTGCCCTGCACAAGCACAAAAACCCTTGCCTCGAGCAAGCACCAAAGCCTTGCCCTGCGCAAGCACAAAAAGCCTTGATCATATACTCAAGCGTAAACCATTATAGTATCGCCCAGGGACATACAAAAATCCCACATCATTTTGGACACCCTCGAGAATCTCACATTACAACTTTTTAAATTAGATGTGCTCGAGGTTTTACAGTCCTCGAGGAAAGCACAACCCAACTTTTTAAAGTTTAGTGTGTGCTCGAGGATTACACTCCTCGAGAATGTCACATTATCAACTTTTAAGTTTAGTTGTGCTCGAGGATTACAGTCCTTGAGAATGTCACTATCAATTTTTAAGTTTAGCTGTGCCCGAGGATTACAGTCCTCGAGAATGTCACTATCAAATTTTAAGTTTAGTTGTGCTCAGTCCTCGAGAATGCCATTCAATCTTTAAAAAATAGTTGTGCTCGAGGACACAATCCTCGAGAATCCACATTACCATTTTTAAGATTAATTGTGCTCGAGGTTTACAGTCCTCGAGAATGTCACATCATCATTTTTTATTTGTGCTCGAGAATTACAGTCCTCGAGAATGTCTGTCACTTTTTAATCCCTTAAATGCGCTCGAGTTGTGGAATCCTCGAGGAAACACTTCAATATCGCATGAACAGTTAGTTTCCAATTTGTTTGCTCGAACGTATGGAGTCCAAGGGGTCGAGATAAATAGTTCCAATAAATTAACTTTAGAACATACATAGTCCTCGATCAAATTACATTGTCAAAATTAAACAAAAAATTACAAAAGATCGGGGTGGGGAAGTCATCCAATGTGGCCAAGAG